ACCATGAACTGATAATCTGCCTCTATGGTGCTAACCCAGTAAGCCACTTGCCCCTCACACTACTGGCATGTGACAGGCTTTGCTGGAAAAGGAAGCTTGTGAGATATCGGCAGGACAACATTCTGAGGAAGCCTTAGAAAGATCACAGGGATACGGCTTTACCTCCCCCTCAAGAGAGTCACGAAAACATACACAACATGCGGTGTAGACGTTGGTATGCCTAACACTCAGCACAAGGGAGGTGAAACAGCGGATTCATTGCCGCAGTTCTAAGACGTCCCAATCCCACCCATATTATTATTTCCCCCACAGTGGCAGTAAGGGCGCTGAGAAATGTCAGAGCAGATAAACGGTACCTTGGCTGCTCAGGTTCGGATTGGTGTAGTCCCATGTGTCCTGGTCATTCTTGAACACATTAAGGCGTGTTGGCTAAGAGTAAAACAAACAAATAAATTCATTAAATAACAATTACCTTTCTACTAGCTTGAGTAGGGATGGGTAATATTGAGTATTAACTTAAAATATGTGGGTAAAAAAACGTATGTAAATAAATGGAGCCATTTATTTTGTATTCGTATGTTTATTATTATATATTGGTGCATTAATTAATTTTTTTGTATTTAAACTTGATTTTGACTGTTGCATCAAGATTAAGTGGCTACAAAATGAATGGTTCCTCTGAAACCACATTTTCAAGCCATTCAGAAAATGCATATATAATGAAAAATAATAAAGAATTATTTTAGCATTATCACCCAGTAAATTTAGATGAAAGCTCACCTTGGCATACTCGATCTTTAGTGTGCAACAGCCAGAGTATATATCAGCCCCATTGAGTGAGGCCTTGGCCCTTTGGGCGCTCTGAACGGAATCAAATGTGTGAGGAATCAAAGAAAAACAAAGGGACTCGTGTGCCATGACTGCAGCGGTTATTATTTAAAGTGTTCTTGGAATGCAGTATACTTCATGTAACTCGGTTTGGACAGAAACCTCCTAACAGTGCTTGTAAGACATTCATAGTCCACATGCGAAGTGGACTCAAATGACAAAATGAAACAACCCTGACAAGAGCACAATGTCTCATGAACACAAATTACAGCTGGCAGAATCTAACAAACAGCTTCGCTCTGCAGTCTGAAGCAGTAAAGGATATTCCACCATGGCCTGGACACCATTCTTCCTAAAGATGACGATTCTCTGAACAGGACCACAGTTGTTGCAAATAGTATAGAGAACATCCTGCAGAACAACAAGAACATTAGTGTGAAAAATCGAATTGAGCATCACTGATATTACACAGTGGAGGTGGGTATTACCGTGGTAATGGGATAAATGGGGTTCATGATTGTCAATAGCAAAACATTATTAACACTGCGGGAATCATCAGGGTCACCCGGCCGGGATATCTTCTGGCTGGTAGAGTAGTTCACAAACGCAGGATGTCCGGCGATGTAGATCTGGTTGTCGTTGGCATAAGTAACAGCATTGCAAGACCCATTCATATCCTCATATTCAACCAGGGCTTGACGCTTCTTCGGCATGAGCACGACGTAACTGCAGAAAGATGGAGATGCATGATCCTCAATGCATTTCACTACAGGCAGAACCAAGGTACGGCACAACCGTAGCACAAGTTACCTGATGGTTCCAAACTCTTGCAGGGCTTCAACGATGTCTGCTTCCAAAACTCCGTCCACTAAACCTCGGACATGCACCACAAGAGAGGGAAGGGTCTTGTGTGGGTCAACGTAGTCCTCCTATGAAATAAAAATCACCACATTAGTCCAGTAACCTGGCATAATCAATCAATTTATAACAAGAATCTAAATACCAACATTGCAATGTGTGTGTAATGCTGACTTTGTGCATGGCATGCGGTGTATATTGCCTTTACTTTGTACAAACTGAGCAAGTTCTATAAATGTATATGTATTAATGGTCATGTACGTTGTGCTAATGCACGATGTTTTCCCACTCATTGTGATTAATAACTCGCTATTCAAATGTGATTACGGTTGCATGCAGCATAACCCATTCATTCAGAATAACGTTATATAACTTATGTGTGGCGTGCATCTCTTACTAACACATCAAGCATTCGCTACATGATCATTTTCTGTTTTCATATTCGTGTTTTTGTAATCCTTTTGGTGCAGAAATATCAGCGTGACGTACGTTAGCTCAATTGTTTGGTTAGCTGGTTCGCTAACTAATGCTATTTTAGCCAGCTAGCTAGCTAACGCCAAGTCAGATAAAAACTGTAATAAAATAACAGATAGTGTGTAAGTAAAGGTTTGTCTTACGGTCGCCATTCCCCCCTCGTTTTCCGTTTTTTGGCGTTTTGTTGCTCTGCCGCCTTCACTGTAGTAGCGGGCCGTCTGCGTCGCCATGTTGTCCCGTTACGATTCACGCGCAACAAAATGAAATGGACGAAAACTACAGAAAATGGGTCAGGCGGGGGTGACGCCCACCAAGACAAGAACCGTCAATATTACTGGTCAAGAGAAACTGTCAATCACATTGTAGTCCAATAGAAAAAGCGTAGCTCTACGCTCGCCCAATGATTGGACACTACAGTTGTCACTCAGAACAGCTCACTGATATAATTAGAGATTCAGATTCTGTCAGCTAGTTGATAGAATCTACAAGCCATAAGAAGTATCCTAGTGATTTATAATTTTTAATGTGTTGCTGTCTCGATCAAGACTTAAGTTGTTTTCCCAAGATGACGAACATTTTCTCACGAAAACAGACGTTAATAGTTTAACTACTAATGTGTTTATTTAGTTTAAAAAAGTGCATATAGTGCTAAATAAATATAAATAGTAGATACATTTGAATTACATTTTATTTATCTGCTCATTTGCGGGATTAAAAAAGACAGATTTAAAAAAGGACTGAATTAAACACAATTCTTTTTGATTTTAAGGTTTGTTTGTTTGTTATTTGTAGTCTATATGTATATATATATATATATATATACACTACAAAAAAATAAGAAAAATTGTGTTTAATTAATATCATCAGGAGGACTAATAGTACAATAAATAAATTAGGACAGAGTCATAAACTTGTGATTTACGAATTATTGAACTGCAACAATATAACTAAAAATGCTTCTCTACAAATTGTCCAAAAGATAGTTATTTTCTTTCAAGTCTATTCTATTTGCGTAAGAACAGATCTGGTATAAAAGGTCTTTTTCCATCATCATTTATCTGTCAAATATAGACTTACACAGTACCAAAATCAAACAGAACTATTGAATAAAATACATCTCATCAGTCAAAGGGTTCATTTTGATAGCCCTACTCATTATTAACTTGTATTTACATGTTTTTTTATATATAATTTACACTGTAAAAAAAAAATGATTTTTTTGAAGAATGATTAAAAAAAATGGAACCATTAAAGGGTTAGTTCACCCAAAAATGAAAATTAGGCTGTGTTTTACTCACCCCCGATGCATCCTAGGTGTATGTGACTTTCTTCTTTCAGACGAATCCAGTCGGAGTCATATTAAAAATTGTCCTGGCTCTTCCGAGCTCTATCATTGCAGTCAGCGGGTGCTGCAGTTGAACAGTCCACAAGTCGTCAAATAAAGCGCGCGCATTCAAAAACGTGCCAATAACAGCCGAGTTGTTAATTTAGAGATAATTTAGAGTTTTTAAACTCACCTGCAGTCAATCACACACACACTATATTACACCCACTCAGATCCTTCTCGAACTGCCGAGTATTGTTTGCGTTTATCGCTCTCCAAGTGGTAGCACTTTATGGAGCCAGTTCCCTGTCCTAGTTTTCCTAGGAATCTAGTTTAGTCTTTGTAACGTAGTTTGTAGTCACGGGAAGAAGGAGGCGGGAACCGGCGAACATTTAAACAAACTTTAATAATAAAATAAACTCAAAACAGCGCGACAGCCCCTCGCGGACTGTCGTGTACAAACAAAACCAAAACACAAAATAAAATCCAGGCCTGGTCCTCTCTCGTCCAACACGGTCGTCACTCCCTTTTTATCCTTCCGGAGCTCCTCCGTGAGACTCGAGACCGGTGAGTGGGTGCAGGTGTCGCTCATTAGCAATCACTCCACTGGCCTCGCTCTGTTCCCACGGCTCTCGGCCCCGCCCCCACTCGTCACATACCCCCATCGCCCCTCGCAGGCCGGGGGGTACACCCGAGACTGCTCTCTACTCCCCCCCTCCCCCCTCCGGGGGAGAGCTCTCCGTCCCACCTCGTCTTCCATCGTTCCAGCACCACCGCCTCGGACAGCCACCGGCGGTCTCTCCGCTTGTTCCTGCTGCCCGATCTCCTCAGCAGCGAGGGCTCTTGACAGCGTGTCCCTCCTTCCTCCCGGGTTTCGGCACCAATGTAACGTAGTTCGTAGTCACGGGAAGAAGGAGGTGGGAACCGGCGAACATTTAAACAAACTTTAATAATAAAATAAACTCAAAACAGCGCGACAGCCCCTCGCGGACGACTGTCGCGCACAAACAAAACCAAAACACAAAATAAAATCCAGGCCTGGTCCTCTCTCGTCCAACACGGTCGTCACTCCCTTTTTATCCTTCCAGAGCTCCTCCGTGAGACTCGAGACCGGTGAGTGGGTGCAGGTGTCGCTCATTAGCATTCACTCCACCGGCCTCGCTCCGTTCCCACGGCCCCGCCCCCACTCGTCACAGTCTTGTTATACCCTTGACTCTTGATTCCAGTCTGTTTATCTCGTCCTGTCTGTCAGCGGCCTGCCCTGGAATTATCGCCTGTCTTGGATTATCTCTTTGTCTTGCCGTTTCTGACTCTGTTCGCTCCTGCCTAGATTATTGCATGTTTTTTGGATTACCTGTTTGCCTTGCCCCCTGGATTACGTTTGCCGTAGTTTGACCCACGCCAGTATATGGATTACTCTTTCATCTTGCCCTCTATATACCTGTTTGCCATTGTTTGACCCTGCCTGTTTCATATCATGTCTCTGAATAAAGTTTTGCATTTGGATCCGCACGTCTCACATCTCGTTCGCCCCATTACAGGGCTATAGCAAAGAATGTCACATTCTATTATTGAGCAAAACACTTGCACCTGCACGAGCGGTGATGGACCTAATAGTTACACTGTTGTTTTAAAGCACTTTCTATTTTATTTCATTCTATTCATGTCTGCATATAGAGACTGTTACAGTAGGCTACATAACATAAAACCCCATTACACTACAGATTGTAAAATGCTAAAATTTTTAAAAAGTAAAAACTTTCTTCCCCATTTATATTTGAAAAGCTATAAGAAAACTCTTTTTTGACAGTCGAGGGCAACAAAGAGTCAAAAGTTTCAGAATATACGAATCTGTCTAACTCAGCCAAACCTTGTCCAGTCCGGCTCCTGGAGGACCAACGTTCTGTTGTTTAGCTCCAACATCCTCCAACAGTTTTTTTTTTTTTTAAGTGATCCTGAAGACCTTAATTACCTTGTTCAAGTGTGTTAGTGCTGCAGTGATGACACACTCTTGTAGGCCAACCTGGAATGTGGTGCCATTCCGGTTCACTCAGCAAAATCCCAACAGGTTTTTTCTTTTTTGTCCATTGACCTTTGGATCATTGCAAAAATTAAGCTCTGTGATCAACATGATTCTTACACCTATTTGTTAATCACGATAACCTTCACAACTTTTATACATTTTGAAGCCTTAATACAATAGGCAGAATATATACAAGTATAAGGTCACATGACTTTTCCAACAATTTATCCCGAAAATGTGACTTGGAATAGTTTGCAAGAGCACGATTATTAACACAGCGAGGCTGAACCTCTGAAGTCCCATTTAGTCACTTGTTAGCAAGCGCCTTTTCCAAGACAAATAAAAGCTAGTAAAAAGTCACAAGTGGATGGATGTTATGTTTAAAAGTCACTGATGGATTTTATGTTGCAGAATAAGCCGCATAACTTTTAATGCAAACAGTAATTAAAATCAATTTTAGTTTTTAAAAACTAAACTAAACTAAAGCTCCACTATTTCTACTCCACTTCCATTCAGTTTTGATTATTATGTGTTTTTATGCCAATATATCATCACTATCTCTTTGAAAAATATCTATTTTTTAAAAATATGTTTATATTCCGTACCAAATATTATCCTTTGCCTAGCCAAATCACATTTGAGAGGGTCAAGTTTACATTCATATAGTATGACTTGTCCAAAATGCATCCACACCCATTTCTTACTAAATCAAAACGATATGAATCATATGAACTTTGATATACTGGTCTCAATAAAACAGACCTATCATTAAATTGCATTATACACCTTTTGATGGTAGCTATTATTAATTATCAACTCAAATACATAAATCTTTTAAAGAATATTATAGCAAAATAACATGGTATTACCGTCACTGCATCCCACTATAATATATTTTTCTTATTGCAGAAGGGAGAAGGGAAAAACAGCAACAGCACAGGAGTGATGTGACCCTGGTTTGGACACCTACCTTAACAACTCTGTTATCCAGGGCTTTTGTGTGCTCCTCAAACTCCTCGCCGATGGTGAAGTCGACCTCATAGTTTCTGAAGGTGCTGAGGGTTTTGGTCTCAAATTTGTCTCCGTTCTGCACAATGACCTTAGTCTGCTTGAGATGCACTGCGATCTTACGGGTGGCAAAGTCAATGTCTGTAGGGGAGGAATAGAATGATATATTAAAGTCTCAAAAAGGAAAGATCAGCACGATCCAAGTAGGAATGTGCGAAAGTATCAAAAGGAGGCTTTGAAATCACTTATATTTCATCCTGTGATGCAACAGACTGACAGAAATATTCATACGCTGGGACAAAGGTGGCCGAAGTGTTCAAGTTCGCTCATCTCCCACCTTTACCAAAGCGACTGATAAGATACTATGACCTTTGACCCTGAAACAAGCAACCCACTTATTGATTCATTTCTTGCACAAGATACTCAAAATTTTTTCTTCATTTAAATTCATTTATTAATTAACAATGATTTTATTTATTTAGTTATTGATCGCAAGTGGTCTAAAAATGCTGCAAAAGCCTGGTCAGCATTTTTATTACTATTAAGCACAATGAAAATAAATGCAATAAAATCTGTTGCAAAATGAATATTCTAAATGTATGCAACCCCAGTGCATGATGCATGAAACGTCTCACACCCCTATTGTGCGCTATATCCTATATTTTAACCTAAGATTTTGTAACAACTGTATTTTCGTTTTCAAGTTTATGGTTTTTATATTTTATTTTAATCGTTAATGTCAAGTAATGCATTTTTTGTTATTTTAGGTGTAGTTAATGATAATAACCCATATAAAGTCTTAAATATGAAGTGAGTGTATGCATTCAGATCTGCTGCAAAATGAAAAAAAAATGACAGAAACAGACATGAAATGTCTACCTCTATTATTTTGCACTACATCGTCTTTGCAGCAATTGCACATTCATTTATGCATGGCTACAGTGAACTCTGTCCGCTAAGAACAAGATAACCTATATGTTGATATAAGAGCCTGATCTGCATCTCTGGTGTGTAAATGCTCCTGTTGATAACTTTAGGATTCCAGCAGGTATTCAGTAAAAGAAATCACATACCCAGAGCCTTCATGACATCCTCAAAGTTGTCATTGCTGACCATCTCCCACGTTCCATTGAAATCAGCCGGCATTGTGAAGCTGGAGGTCGTGTGAGTAGAATGAGGTGAGCCACGGCCTTTTATTGCAGTGTGAGTGAGCAAATGAACTGTACGAACAGAGTTCGTCTGATAAGTCCCTTTATCTTCATTGAAAAAAAAAGTGACGTGACATGTGGCCAAGTATGGTGACCCATACTCGGAATTAGTGCTCTGCATTTACCCATCCAAAGTGCACACACACAGCAGTGAACACACACACACCGTGAACACACACCCGGAGCAGTGGGCAGCCATTTATGCTGCGGCGCCCGGGGAGCAGTTGGGGGTTCGGTGCCTTGCTCAAGGGCACCTCAGTCGTGGTATTGAAGGTGGGAGAGAGCGCTGTACATTCACTCCCCCCACCTACAATTCCTGCCGGTACGAGACTCGAACCCACAAACTTTGGGTTATGAGTCCGACTCTCTAACCATTAGGCCACAACTTCCCTTGGAAGTCGTGAAAAAGGGGTGGGCTTTATTAAGGGGATGTACTCGTGTCAGCATTTAATATGGTCTGAGAGAAAGATACAGACAAGTTGTGTAGATATTGCAGTTGTCATGAAATTTTAAAGCTGTGATAGCAGTATCCCACACTTTGTCATGTTATACTTCCTCATAATCAGCAGTTTTTAAAATAATCTTGTGGAATTCTTGTGCATTAGAATTCTAAAGTTTAAAACAATTTTCTAACATTCTTTGGAACGTTCCCTAGTCTAAAGTCCGATACAAACTTGTGGAGTTCAATAACAGCTGGTATTGAACCAAAAGGGGAACAAACCAAATACAAAAAAAAAAAAAAATATATATATATATATATATATATTTTTTTTTTTTTTAATTCAGCTTATCACTCAAATCGCTTTATGCCAGTAGCTTTGTTTGCAATTAAAATATTTTATTAAACATGCAAAATATAAGCATTTTCACTACTGGTCTCAGACTTAATATAAAGACTTACTTTATGTTTGAGGTCGATAAGATTTGTCAAATATCTTTGAAAGAAATCTCTCATGCTCGCCAAGGCTGCATTATTTTTAAATGACAAGAAAAAGTACAAATTAAATAATAGTAAAAATAGTTCAAAAATACAATAGGAACAGTAATACTGTGAAATATTTTGACATCGTTGATATTTTAAGCAGCACAACCTTTACGCAAAGAACAGCATTTATTTGAAGTATTTTTATAACAATATGGAAGTCTTTAATGTCACTTTGGATACATTTAATGCATCCTTGCTGATTAAAGGTATTCATTTCTTTCTAAAAAATCGTACTTTTGCATGATAGTTTAAGTTAATAAAAAATGTTGTTGCCCATGTGCAATAAAATAGCAAAGTATGGCAGTGATGTGTCAGGAGGGAGGCAAGTAATACTGTTTCACTTGCATTTGTGGATTTGTCACTACCACTGTAACACTGCTGAAAGTATAGGACACATGACGATAAGCTCAGAGTAGATAAGTGTCTTTATGCTGCATCTGATCTCTGTCACCATGAGACAAATCACACTTATTATCAGCTCAGCACATAGATCATGAAATATCAGTGATCATGACATTAATGCAATTACTTTTCAGATTCCACCAGTACAGTGGGTACAGAAAAGAACAGGGGCGGATTTAGTGATTTGGGGGCCCCAGGCAAAATACAGGAATGGGGCCCTATACAATTTCACACATTTACAACCTTGAGGTTCCTTTCACTGTTGCTCGCTGCTGCACGACCGTGTCCCATAGTTGTGTCTAATCTTTTAGATTTTTCATGTACATGTTATAAATAAATGATTTCTTTAATGTTGTAAATCCCTTGTTCATATTTAAACTGGTTATAATAATATTAGAGTGGGTTGGACACTAGGTGGAGCGTTGGGGTCATTTTCACTATGCAATTGTCTACACAACGCAAGGCTGTCTAATTCTAAACTTTAAAACATACATTTATTTTTATTTATTTTAATTGCACATTTAAATTAAACTGAAGGAAATTATAAATAAAAACATATCTAATTAATTGAATTCATAAAAACAACTTAATTTATTAATTTGTATACAATATTAGGGCCCTATGAAATTTGAATTTTATTGACTTATTTTTTAGAAATTCTGTGTTGTGTATTTTCATTTTGCTGGTAATCAAATGAAGGCGAAAACATTAATCTATCTTTTATTCCAATGAAAATTAATTTTTAATTAAATTTTTAAACCCTTTAATTTTTGTACATTCAAAATGCTACACAACAGAAGTTTACTGTGTAACGAGCAATGTCATGGAATTCGTCAAATATTAAACGAATAAATCAAATGCAATTCAGTGCACTTCAATCAAACCGCGATATGGACTAGTGTATGTGAATATTAAATGGCAAAAATACTATTTAGCTACTACAGACGACAACCGCGAGTGTTGCGCGTGCTTAAATAGCAAGCTAACAAACGAAACGTGCGTCTGCGCCGTACATTCCGTCACATTCCGCGTTACACAGTAAATTCCGTTTTTATGAATAGATTCCGACGGTTGTCGTGGTAATGAACACCACAGCAGCCACTTGTGCGTCCGCACTGAACGCACATCTCGCATATAAAAAGCATTTTAGGAGGCCCTTAACTTTTGGGGGCCCAAGGCGGTCGCCTACCTTTGCCTAATGGTTAAGTCCGCCTCTGGAAAAGAATCACCTTTTTTCAATCCTTGCTAGTGCAACAGAAGCAATCAATCAAGGGCCTAGCATTAGCTACCACCCAAGCAAACAAAAATATTTCTTAATCAGTGGAAACCGTTACAGTGTTTTCTATCGCAATAAGCGTTTGCATTCAATCAATAAAAATCGAATGTAGTTCTTAATTTGTTTGAGAACTGAGAAAGACCATTCCATTAATAGGTGCAGTGTCGTGGCCACATACAGTGGGGAAAAAAAGTATTTAGTCAGCCACCAATTGTGCAAGTTCTCCCACTTAAAAAGATGAGAGAGGCCTGTAATTTTCATCATAGGTATACCTCAACTATGAGAGACAAAATGAGAAAAAAAATCCAGAAAATCACATTGTAGGATTTTTAAAGAATTTATTTGCATGGAGTCACAATCACACATCAAGACATTGTTAAGATGATTTATTTCAAGACATCTGTCATGTTTCCGTCCTGAAATCTCGTGTGTGTTGAACTAATTTTTTACGCACCTCATAAACCTTCCGTTGCAAATCCCAAAACGTCATTTTAGAGGTGATAACAGAGACTTGAGCCATTGATATGCAGGCTAATGCAGTTATTAATGCAGTCTAATACGGTTATTAGAGAGAGGGAGAGAGAGAGATTAAGTGCGTCTATGCGTCTCTCAGCAGCGTTCAGCAGCAGCGTCTACTAATAGCGAATCTTTAAGTTAAACTGCTTCAAGAACCTCGCTACTGAGAAATGTCATGTAGCTTTTCAGCTGTGAAACTATTTTATTGATAAATTTTTTGCTCAATGTCTTCTCGGGTTTTGGTTCTTTTACTGTTGTAGATAGCCCATAGTATAACAAAAATATTATATCTCTCTTCATTGTGTTTGGGCCCCCCTGGACGAGCGAGCATAGGCACGTCCCTAGAATGCCTATGCGTAAATCCGGCCCTGGTTGGAAGGCACTGTCAATAGATCTCCAGGGTAAAGTTGTGGACAGGCACAAGTCAGGAGATGGATACGAAAAAATGTAATGGCTTTATCAATACCTAGAAGCACAGTGAAGTCTATTATTAAGAAGTGGAATGTATTTGGTACAACACAGACCCTTCCTGGATCAGGACGTCACTCCAAACTGGATGGAAGAGCCGGAGGAATCTAGTCAGAGAGGCGACCAAGAGGCCGACAGCAACTCTGAAGCAGCTGCAGGAATTTATGACAAAGAGTGGTCATTGTGTGCCTGTGACAACAATATCACACATTCTCCACAAATGTGGCTTGTATGGGAGGGTTGCAAGAAAAAAGCCACTCCTCAAGAAAGGCCACATGCAGTCACAACTGAGCTTAGCAGATGAGACTAAAATTATCTAAATATTATATCTCTCTTCATTGTGTTTGGGCCCCCCTGGACGAGCGAGCATAGGCACGTCCCTAGAATGCCTATGCGTAAATCCGGCCCTGGTTGGAAGGCACTGTCAATAGATCTCCAGGGTAAAGTTGTGGACAGGCACAAGTCAGGAGATGGATACGAAAAAATGTAATGGCTTTATCAATACCTAGAAGCACAGTGAAGTCTATTATTAAGAAGTGGAATGTATTTGGTACAACACAGACCCTTCCTGGATCAGGACGTCACTCCAAACTGGATGGAAGAGCCGGAGGAATCTAGTCAGAGAGGCGACCAAGAGGCCGACAGCAACTCTGAAGCAGCTGCAGGAATTTATGACAAAGAGTGGTCATTGTGTGCCTGTGACAACAATATCACACATTCTCCACAAATGTGGCTTGTATGGGAGGGTTGCAAGAAAAAAGCCACTCCTCAAGAAAGGCCACATGCAGTCACAACTGAGCTTAGCAGATGAGACTAAAATTATCTTTTTTGCCCTCAACACCAAACGATATGTCTAGTGGAAATCCAATACAGTCATACAATCTGGAATGTCTTGAAGACTGCAGTCCACAAACAGTCACCATCAAATTGAACTGAACTTGAACAGTTCTGCAAAGACGAGCGGGCAAATATCCCAAAGATGTTCATAGTTAGTAGAATGGACATTTCACAGCATTGAAAACTACTCAGAAAAACAAACAAACAAATAAATCAATAATGCACTCTTATAAATTCATCATTTTTAGCCTGAATGATTCATCAACAAGTGCATCAAATTTTTGTTCTTCAATATTAATATAAGTAAGTGTACAGGAGCAAAAAGCAGAGATGAGGAGAGAGGTGACTGTACACGTATACTCCAGATCATGTAGGCTAAAGTTCAGTTTGCTGTCTGTGACATGTACTGTTGTGCAATTCTTCCTGTAAATAAATGACAACTATCATGCAGTTTCATCGATTATGACATTAGTGTTTTAAATTTACTGCATTGCTCACAGTGTTAACAGTGCAACAGACACAGTAACATTTTGACAAATCAGGCC